TTTAAGGGGGTCTGAATACTTTCCGTACCCACTGTATGTACACAGAGCATCTAAAGGTCTGATTAGAGCATTCCTATGGACTATTTTTATCTTTTTGCTCCAAAGGGACGGTGGTCTCAATGTTTTTATGCTGTTAAAACATGTCTAGGCAAAGTCAAAATGATGCTGATAAGATGTCATTCGCCAGCCCCTGTCATAACAGCATAGTGATTGAAGTATTGTTCTTTTTTTGGCTCATTTAGGAATGTTATCACTCTATTTGTCTTGCCCAAATATTTCAGTTGAGTACGTTAAAATGTGGGCTCATCTTTAGAGCTTGTTCCTTCCTAAACATTTTACTCACCCTACGTGTGGTGTTCAGGTGGTGGTGTGGACTTCCTCCGGAATGGCCAGGCATCTCCGGTTCCTGATTCTGGCCTCAGTTCCTCTTCTACTTCGTCCAGCCTGAGCCTCGGAGGCAGCAGCTCCAATCTTCCTCACCTGGCACAGGAAGAGGTGGAGCAGATGGAGAGCAGCACTGAAGATGACGAGAAGAGCAGCAAACTCATTGAGTTTCTCACTAACAGGTACAAGAAGAACCTACAGTAACACTAGTTTGGGATCATGTTTGTTTTTGTTTGTTTATTTTTTAAGAAATGTATACTTTTATTCTGCAAGGATGCATAAATTGATCAAAAGTGACAGTAAAGACATTTACAATGTTACAAAAGAACTTTAATTTTTTTTATTAATCAAAGAATCATGAAAAAAATTGTCAATTATTTCCTCAAAAATATTAAGCAGCATAACTGTTTACAACATTGATAAGGATAAGAAATTATCTTGAGTGCCAAATCAGCATATTAGAATAATTTCTGAAGGCTCATGTGACACTAATTGCTGCTAAAAATTTAGCTTTGCCATCACATGACTAAATGACATTTTAAAATATATAAAAATAGAAAACAGTTTTTTTGAAAATAACTTCGTTCTGTTTTGTGTTTGTTTCTGTGACTTCAGACAGGCTCACGTGACACTAATTGCTGCTAAAAATTTAGGTTTGCCATCACAGGAATAAATGACATTTTAAAATATATAAAAATAGATATATTTGTTTTATTTGAATAATATTTCACAAATATTTTACTGTATTTTAAATCTGATAAATGCAGCCTTGGTGAGCATAAGAGACTTCTTTCAAAACACTAAAAATCTGAATCATGATAGGTACAGTACATAAATGCTGTGATGTTTTTATTATATTAAATTTATGTTATATTGAACTTAACAAATGAAGTGTTTAAATATAAATTTTAATAGGAGCCAGATAACCTCTGCACTGTTACTTTTCCTTTACTGCTTATGTAACTACAATGAAAGGTTATTTCATGTGAATATTCCAGAGCCGTTCAGGAACTGATTCAGGAAATGACACATCTGACACGTCTTACATCTGACATCACTCAAGATGTTACAGACTTGTATGTTGCATTTCATCAGTCTTCATCAGAGCGGTTCTCTTCTCACTGGGGTGTTGCTTAAAAGGGCATCTGCCTGATGTTGGTGCTGGTGTTGGTTCTTTCAGACTATGTTCACACTGCAGACAATTCCAGATTGGTTTTCAAATCCCATTTTAAGACTGGCGACACTGTTATTTGCTCGTGATCAGGTGGATCTGTGTGGCATTTGCAGTATAGTTATTTTCTGCCATCGTCTTTGGTTGCCAAATGAAGGCATTTGCACACTACCGAATGACTTTCTACTTCAATAACTGGAAGTATTGAAGCTATTACTGGAAGTATTGAAATGATTATTATGCTGTTAACAGCTATGGTCAACAGAGAAAAGCAGTCAGATTTGAATTGGATATGAAAAAAATGGATTTGAGCTGCTAGTGTGAACTAGTTTTTACAGTATGTACAGAACTAACTTTTTTCACTTAAATATTGATTCAAACTACAGTAGTCAACATTTGAAGTGGATCAAAACCTTTCATCAAAGTTGTCAAATATTTAATGTACAGCAATTGCTGCCTGATTAGTTAGTTTATTTTAAGTTTTGACTGAGGAAAGTTCTATCAAAACTTAAGAAACACAGCAACAGGTTTGGTGGTTTGCAGGGAAATAGCATCTTTTGGCCTAGTCTGCCATCTAGTGGCAGTTTTGGTCATAAGCAAGTAATATTCAAATATATCACATTGCTGTCATTTACAGTTTATACTGCATATGTAAGAGATCTTATAAATAGTCATGTGTTTTTTTTAGGCCTTTTGGACCATTGTGGAGCCATGAAGACATCACTCCTAAGAATCAGCACTCAAAGAGCACCGAACAGCTCACCAACTTCCTGAGACATGTAGTGTCTGTGTTCAAAGAGTCCAAATCAGGTAAGTCACATTTGTCCTAAGTCATTCCAGTGTTCGTCTAGATTAATAGGGTGCAGCTTGTGACATTTATCTAATTTTAATTTATATCCCTGTATTTGCATGCCACATTCTCTATGTTTGTAGACATTCGGCTTGAGCAGCAGTTGAGTGAAGTGGCGTTGCAGATGGCTCTGTGCAGCTCCTCCAGACATTACGCTGGATGTTCCTTCCAGGTGTTCAGAGCTCTGCGGCAGCCCCTGTCAGCGCTGGCCGTGTCCGACTTGCTTTCACGCTTGGTGGAGGTGGTCGGGGAGCACGGGGAGGAGGTTCAGGTGAGCTTCTGTTTCTGTAATGACTGTTCTGACTGATTCAGTGAGCGAATAAACACAGAATGCATCTTCTCTGCAGGGGTATGTGATGGAGCTTCTCCTCACTCTTGAGTCAGTGGTGGATAATCTAGCTGAGTGCCTGAAGAACAATGACTTCTTTGTTATACTACGGTAAGTTCCCGCAATGCAACATTACTTCTGTCAGGACCACTACCGTCAATACACTTAGCATACAGTTTGGTTTGGCGGTATGGTTCTGTTCTGGGAAAAACTCCCTGCCCATCCATGAGGCCTGTTATGAATGAGCAGGGAGAGCAGCAATAATAACCCCCCTAGGGTAAACCAAACAGAACTATCATTAATGTACTTAATGATATTTAAGTGTAACACATTATTCAAGATAAAAGGAGTCTGATTCAACGAGGAATATAAGCAAGCCAAGCCCTGACTGTGGCGAAAGGAGGAGTTGGGGATGGAGGAGGGTAATTTGCTCCTGAGCCAGCGAAAAAGCTGCTGAATAATACTGAATAGACCTTATATATGCAAGCTTGACTCACGTGAACCTGCCGGAACTAATGCTATACGCTTGATTTATGTAAAGCCTGACATATGAAATAATCATGAATAGTCAGAAAAATCTTTTTTTTTTTAATCGACAGAAGGCATGTAGTAGTTTGTGTACAGTAGGTTTCTCAATACGTTTTGATAATAATTGTTGATTATTTAGAAGCCTTAGAAATTTACGTATGAAATATGATAGAGTAGGCTTTAAAAGGTTTGAGTCTTCTAACTTCAACATCAAAAGTCCAAGAGGCTTCGATGTTTGTTAGTGATCAGTCTGTGTTCCTGCAGGGCATCTTCGCCAGATCTTCCATCCAGCGGCAAGTTAACACTAAACCGTAAAAGCACCAGTCAGCTGGACCTGATCCCAGGATCAGGCCCTGCTTCTGAGCGAACACGCCACCAGCGTAGCTACTCCGTACCCAAGCGTTTCGGCGAGCCTGAGCGTTCCTCCGAGGTTCCCCGAAGCGCCACCTTGGATCGCATCCACCATCATCAGAGCAGTATTTCCAAGCTCAGATCCCTGTCCTCATCATCTTCCAGAGACAACGTGGTCTCCACCGACCCAACCAACGCCAACCATCCTCGCAACCTGCTGGCCACCATCTTTTGGGCAGTGGTGTCACTCATGGAGTCAGACTTTGAGTTTGAGTACCAGATGTCCCTCAGTTTGTTAGGGAAGCTGCTAGGCCACATTTCATTGGATAAGCAGGAATACAGAGAAAAGCTGGAGAAGATCCAGATCCAGCTAAAATGGAAGGAGTTCTCTGGGCTTCAGCAGCTGCTTCTGAAGGGCTTCACCTCTGCAAACACCACAGAACTCACCTTGGAGATTTTCAGCCAGCTTACGCCCGTCTCACGCCTACCTGTGGTGGACACCTCACAAGCCATTGGTAGACCTTTTCATTTCTATTACCAGCTAAATGTACCTTTCTAACATAATTCTCCATTAATCCACCAAAATTCATGATCATTTCTCATTTTAAGTGGGATTATGAAAACAAATCTGCTATTACCTTTCAGGTTTCCCATTGAACGTGCTCTGCCTCATCCCCCATCTTGTGTTACATTTTGACTCACCTACTCAATTCTGCAAGGATGTGGCTGAGAGAATTTCCCAGGTCTGTTTCTGTTACCTCAACCACACTATAAATGCACTTTTATAGCTAGTCAGAGAATCTACATCACATTTGTTTGCTGAAAATCACTCATTTTGATTTACAGGTTTGCCTTGAGGAAAAAAACTCCAAGCTGTCCAACCTTGCCCATGTGATGACACTGTACAAAACACACTCCTATACCCGTGACTGCTTCTCTTGGGTCAATGTGGTGTGCCGCTACCTACATGAAGCGTTCAGTGACAGCACACTCAGCATGGTTACTTACATGGCGGAGGTAGGAAGACCACAAATAAAAGTTAATCTTACGACATTTGAAATTTTAATGAAAAAAGTATGATAAAGAAGACAAGAATGTGAACATACTCATACTTTGTGTTCAGGAAAACTTTCTAATACTTTTCTGTGTTTTGTAAACAGTTGTTGGAGAAAGGATTACCCAGCATGCAACAAACTCTTCTGCAAATCATCTATAGTCTACTGAGTCACATGGACCTGAGTGGTATTCAAGCCAAACTCTTCAACATGGAGGTTCTAACAACCATAGAGAAGTTTGTTCAGGTGTGACTCCTTTAATTTATCACATACAGAACTTATTTATGGAATTTGTTCCACAACTTTAATTAAAATTTAGTCATTTACATATGCTTTTGGCCAAAATGACCTACAATGCAATGTTATTTTATATACTATTATATAAAAATAATAGTATTTATATATATACTATTGTAGTATTTATTAATATTTTGAATGAGCTTTAATTAGCATTTTCGGTTATTTAAATTCAATTTGTAATTTTGTAATTTTTGTGCTTTGATAATTTTATAATTTTTTTTAAATTTTCTTTTATTTTTTTACATTTATGTTTAGCTTTATCTTTTACAGTTTTTGTAATTTTAATACATTAAATTCAACTTATTTTATTTCAGTTAGTTGCCAAAGCAACATTTCTTATTTTTTAAACTTAAGTTTTTCAGTTAATATTTCTATTTTATTTTATTTTATTTCTATTTTTTATATTTTAATTGAATGTATTTTATATACGAAAACCGTTTTTACCAACACTGCTACAGTGCAAAAAAAAAGTTGTAAATGTGAATTTGCAGTGTGTATTGAATGTAATGAAATAAAAAGACTGTACTGCAAGATAATAGTAACTGAAATATAGCTAAATGAATCAGGATCCAATTAAGAATCAAGAACTTGTGAATCTGAATTAAACTGCATAGAAATCGATTCGTTAAAGGAAACACAACATAAAGACATAACTAATCAGTAATCATTTTACACTCTGTAGCTTTTCACACAATATTTATTGTGGGCGCTTCTAAAATTATCCTCAATGATCACATCTAACTGGCTCATATCATTCAGCCTTAATTTGCTCATGACATAATAGTGTTTTATAGCATTTCTACTGTAAACTTCAAGCTGTCTTACATCTTTAGTAATGCCACTGGTTTTCCATCTCTCAACCCTTCCTTCGGAGGGAGAACAAAAAGAGAATTAAAAAACACGACCTTGTGCCAGGGCTATAAATCCAAAGGCACACCCAGCAGCAGTCTATAAACAGTCAGTCCTATTGGCTGCTGTCCACATTACTGAGGCCTTCAGTGTGGCCTCACAGCAAAGACGCTCCTCTGAACTACTGCTTCTCTCGCTGGGCTCGTGTGTTTATCTCAGCAGAGGAAGAGACAGCTACTGCTCGTGAAAATGGATTGACTGTATGTAATGCTTTGGGAGGTGAGCAAGTTTCTGAATGTGTCCTTTGAGAATAACTTAGTTCAGTTTTGTGTTTGTTTCTGTGACTTCAGACTGCACACTGGAAGGAAGCCTTGAACATATTAAAGCTGGTGGTCTCCCGCTCGGCTAGTCTGGTTTCGCCTTCATCCCCGCAGAGTAACGCATCCACTGTGGATGTCAGGCGTGTTTGGGACACACCCTCCAAAGCCCTGCCTGGAAAGACCCTTGACTTTCACTTTGACATTTCAGAGGTATGACATGTCTGTATCTGTTTTCCTTTCTTTATTGTCATTAAACAGTACAAGCCAAAAGTTTGGACACTGAATTTATGTTTCTCATGATCTATAATACCCTGAGGCTTATACATAAATGCTTGAAATCAGTAGTGTAGCAAGCACAGACTGTTTAATAACCATCCCAGGATGCACCTCATAAAGTTGGTTAAGATGATGAGTGTGCAGCTGGAATGAAGAGAAAGGGTGGTAACTTTGAAGGAGCTAAAATGGTTTTAAACATTTTTTTGGTCACTATATAATTCCCATACTTCCATTTGCATTATTTTATAAGTTGATTTAAAATATTATATTAGTATTATTCAATTTATATAGTACTTTTAAATGCATAACACAGGAAAAAAATAAGACTGAAAAAATACTAAATATTATTTTTATTATTAGATATTATTTTATCATTTGCCTTTCAAGGAGCTAAAAATGGTCTTAAACATTTTGTGGTCCCATTTTTGGTACCTTCCATTTGCGTTATTTTATAAGTTGATTTAAAATATATATTATATTATATATAAGTACTATATAAGTATTATAGTATTATTCAATTTATATAGTACTTTTAAATGCACAACACAGAAAAAAGACTGAAAAACACTAAATATTATTAGATATTATTTTTATCATTTAAAAAATATTTTATCATTTAAAAATTATTGTTATTATTGTAAAAAAGAGAAAGTTGTTCTTTTAAGTGGTGGTGTACATTAAGTTAGTGAAGCTGAGATGGTGCATAGTGTGTAAAAGTGAGCCATGCCAGCAAACCACCAAATGCTGGCGTCCTCGATAGGATTGTCCACATTTTCCAAGGTGGAGTCATGCATTTTTTTTTTTGTTTTGTCCTCTGTGTTATTTTTTTTATTTTTATTTTTTTCATTATTATTGTACAGTAACATTTGTAACAAACTCTGAAGGTTAGGTTTTCTGTTTAAAACTTTATTAAAGTGTGGGAACCAAACAGGGAGCTATTTGTGTAGTGCATGAATTCCAGGAAATGATTTCAGTCCGGCTGTGGCGCTTTACATCCAGAGCGGCGAGAGCTGGACAGCCCTTCGAGAGTCTCAAAGCAGACTCCTCTGCCCTCTGTCAAATACCTCTGGGACATATTTAGCCTCTAGCAAGTGGGCGAGACAGTAGGAAAAAACCTCAAAACTGACAGGGAACTCAAAACATGCTCCATTCCATCCCAGCAAAAAGGATTTCACAGGAATTAAGGGCAGGTGAGCTCAATAAGGGAAATCCTGACATTCCCCCAAGCTTTGTTTGGCTCACTTTATTGAAGTTCTGTTTTTCAAAGCTCCGCTACGAGACACAGAGGAGTAGGACCATTGAGAATAGACGTCCACTTTTTCCAGCAGGTTCTGAATTGTTGGTCTAGATCTGAGGCAACTTGACGTTAGCGAAGGGAATGAGCTGGAATGAAGACTTTTGGGCCGAGGGCCACAAGCTTATGACACGAAAGGAAAAGAGCAGACGTGAAATCCCTGGGCTTAATGGTGTGTGATTTTGTGTGTGTTTTAGACACCGGTGATTGGCCGGCGATATGACGAGCTTCACGGTTCTCCGAGGCAAGATGGGAAGAATGGAGGAGGGGTTACTGTGACACGCAGTACCTCCTCTACATCCTCGGGCTCCTACCAAAACAACCACGTGCTGGTGCCTGTCAGCTGGAAACGACCACAGTCTTCACAGGTAAGCACTCACAAAAATACATTGTTTGAAGTTCTGACATTTGCAAAAAAATTTATATATGCATTTCTATATCTCCTATATTTTAATGTTTTTATTTATTATTTTATTTTATGTAATTTTATCAATTACATTAAATTATTTTTTTGTCATTTTATATTATATTTAATTTATTTTTTATAATTTTGTTTTATTTGCACTTAATTTATTTAATTAATTTATTTTTTTTGTCATTTCTCTCCCAATTTAGAAAAGAACTCGTGAGAAGTTGGTGAATGTATTAACTTTGTGTGGCCAAGAAGTTGGACTCACCAAAAACCCATCTGTAAGTGTTATCCATCTAGTATTAAATATTTGAACATACAGTATGTGAGGAATCATTCTTAAGCACTTCCTACAGGTGATTTTCTCATCCTGTGGGGAACTGGACCTGATTGAGCACCAGCCCAGTCTGGTGTCATCTGAGGACGGCACACGGGACACAGAAAACATGGATGACACCACTTCAGAACAGCAGTTCCGTGTATTCAGAGACTTTGACTTCCTGGATGTGGAACTGGAAGATGGAGAGGTGAGCAGATATTTAAAAAATAAACCCAAATGATCGGTTCCCTCTTGTGAAATCTTTTGACTTCCAAATTACTTGGGCAAACTTTGTTTTGACTGCAGTAAAGTGGACCTTTGGGGAAAGCAGTGCTGAGCATTAAACTTTTGCAAAGTATCAGTCAGAAATAAACTGTTGCACTGTTTGCGCAATACTACTGTAACTTTCTTTAACTCTTTGTAATACATTCTCCTCTCCTTGTTTATGTCTGTGCCATCAAGGAGATGCAGGTAAGCACAGGAATCCACCAGTGTTGTGCTGTGTGCAGTAGGACAAGATGAAATTGTGTTTTTCACATGCTGTGCGTTGTGATGCATGTCCATAACTCTGCCTGGAAACATAATTTTGTTTTAAGCAAGTTCAAAATACAATGGCACATCAAAACAGATTAATTCAATTTAGATTGGACAGATGAAATTCTAACATACATGATTGTTTATGTATTTGTTTTTTATTTATTGTAAAATTGCACCATTGTTTAAAAGTTTGGGGTCTATAAGATTTTTTTTAACTGTTTGAAAGAGACAGCAAAGGCATTTAAAAAAGTTATAAAAGATTTTAATCTCAAATAAATGCTGTCGTTTTGAAAAAAGTGAATCTCGTTTTCCACAAGAATATTAAGCAGCCTGACAATAATAAGAAATATTTATTGATCACCAAATCAGCATATTTGAATGATTTCTGAAGGATCGTGTGGCTGGAAAATTCAGATTTGCAACAGATTTGCAATTTAGAAAACTTAGAATTTTAGTAATTTTTAACAATATTACCATTTTTACTGTATTTTTGGTCAAAGCAATGCAGCTTTGGTGAGCATAAGAGACTTCTTTCTAAAATCGTACTGACCCCGAACTTTTGAACTGTACAGTAGTGTGTTTTAGAAAATGTAAAAATTAATTGTTGGGTAGCATCTATAAATGTTTAGTCACTCCTTATGTGGTTTTTATTATATTTCAGTATGTTTGTATTTTAATAGCTTGGCCGTCTCTAGTTTGCACTCCTATGAAATCATTAGAGTCATTTCATTGAGGTCATTCTCCAAATTTTCTGAAGCTGCCATGCCACAGAGAGACTTAAAAAGGCAGATTCAGCCTTTTAAATAAATTCTCCCTTGTGAATAAATTTGAGGAATCATCATATTTTCATTCCAACCTTCACTATAACAGTATCAAAGACTTTTTGCTTCTTTACCATTTCATTTTGGTCAAGTATGATTATAAAAGAAAATAATTAAAGTAGTGCAGCAAAAGCGACTTTTTGAGTTCAGTGTTTAAGCGAGCTTTTCTAAACTGCTGAACTGGATCTGTGAAGGAATGTGGATGTTGACTCTTGACTCTGATGTCAAGGCATGTGGCTGCAGTGATAACTTGAGCCTTTATTACTTGCTCTACAAGAACGAGAATGTTTAGAAATGTGTTCCTGCATTGCGGTTTCCTTTAATCCTTTATATATGGAGAGATATCCTTATATAACAAACTCACAGACTGAGCACCTTCACATATACAGCATGCTGTAGCCTATGACTGTGTGCGTTTTGAAATCTGGTTGTGTGCCATATACCAATTCAGAGGACTCTTTATTTCTCTCACTCTTTCTCTGACAGGGTGAGACAGTTGACAGCTTCAACTGGGGTGCGCGGAGGCGTTCCATTGACAGTCTGGACCAGGCTGAAGCCCAACCAATGGAGGAGGACCGCCAGCTCTCAGGAAGCTCTCCAAGCATGTGTCCAATCGTCCATGATGATTCTGACGAGTCTTCTGAGGAAGAGTCCCTCACAGCCAGCCAGATCCTCTCAGCCTCACAACTAGTAATGTTGCACTTTTGTTCATTTTTTGTACACTATTTGACTTAATGGGATGTATGAAACAGGATATTCATTGGGAAATATTGTATTTTATCTATTAGGATTTGATTGGATTGTGAAAAGAAAAGTTGTTTTAGAGGCAGAAAACTTTTGATAAAAGATTTCTTTTACAGTATTTTATAATAACCTGTTTTATAGAAATCTATGAAAACGGTATGTCTAATTAAACTCTCTTAAATTGCTCATTTCAGAATATCAGCCTGTCTCCTACTGAGAAACTTAACCCCATGGACTCCCCTCCCATCTCCTTTGACAACACTCAAGCTGACCCAATTCCTCTTTCCACCCCAACGCCCAGCTTTGAGATCTCAGTACCCGAGGGCTCGAACCATCGGGTGAATAAAAATGGCTTCAAAATGGCTGATCTTTGGGGGCAGACACATTCCTACTCGTACCGCACTTCTGTTCTGGAGTTTTTCCATTAACACGGTTGAAAACGAAATCTCTTTCTGTGCTTGCTTTATCTGTCTGGCTCTGCTTTTAGCATGGGTAGATTTTAGGGAGTAGTTGGCTAATACTATTTTCCTATTACATGCGTATTTAGGATGGGGGCATTAGATTAATGTGCAAAGCGGCATGGCGAGTAATTCTTGCTCTTCAAAAGTTCCCCGTTTCTATCTGCTAACCATTTCTCTGCTAACCGCTTTTCATCTTTGAGGCCTACCACAGTCTCAGAAAGAGGCTCTGGATGAGCCACTAGGGCAATGTGTATGGCTTCTCTGTGGGTGGCAAGGCTGTAACATCACTCACATACTAAATGCTAGGGTTGCAAATAAAGAGAGTGTACCCATTGCCTGTGGCCATAGACATGAGACCAGACCAAGCAGATATTGGTCCTCCAATTTTTAAAGGTCTCTTAATATATCTGAATTTGACATTTTTGAAAATTATTAAAAATATATATTTTTTAAAACACTCAAAAGAGAAACGATTCTCAGCATGAAGAGTTTTAGATTTGAAAGGTTAGTGAATATTTATTTATAAATATATGTATTGTTTTGTGTGTTTTTTTTATTTCAATTTTTATTTATATACATATATTTTAAATTAATACGTGTATTATTATTATTTTTTAAATAATAGAGTTGGTTGACCATTTTATTTTTTATTTTATTTTATTTTCCTCAGCCACCCTAATTAAAATAAATGTAATAATTAAATCAGTGTTTTAATTACATTTTTTAATCAATTTTAAAAATATTTGACAACAGAAAACGTTTAGCATTTAGTAAATTATGGAGCTGACATTTAGGGGAATCACTTCTGTATTTTAGCCACAGAAGTTATCAAAAAGACAATCGTTTAATTAACGATTAGTCAGTCTGTCACTAATACCATCTTTATCATCTCAGAATGGGAAATTCAGCCACATAATTTGATCTTTTCTTATTATTATTTTTTCACAATAGATGTTTTCATTGCCATAAATACTTACCAAGCTTTTCTTACTTCTTGTGAATCCTGTCCAAAACTAGGCTGAGGATTCAGCTGAAGAAGAAGAAGCCATTGTTAATGAGAACGATATCTCACTCTGCATTTGTGAGTCGCCTCCTGCCTTTAGTTGTTCTGACATCCTAACAGCAGACACACCCCAGAAGGAAAACAACTTCTTTACTGACAACGAAACAAGCTGTGTACCCAGGTACTGTGAACTTCAAACTCTCAACATACATTAGTCTGTCTGGAAAAGTCAGACTTATCTCAAGTTTCTCATAGCTGATGTTTGGACTTTTTTTCCTCACCACATAATTCTATCCCTCACTTCCTCCAGTGGGTTTGGAGACCAGCAGAGCTCTGTGGCACAGGCAGAAGAGGAAAAGGAAGAGCTGTTGCTAGAGTCCCGTTCCTCCCCTCCGCCTTCTCCCTTTTTCTCCGCCATCCTGGCCGCCTTCCAGCCGACTGTGTGCGATGATGCCGAGGAGGCTTGGCGCAATCATCTCAACCAGTTGGTGGCTGACTCGGATGGTTCCTGTGCGGTTTACACATTCCAAGTCTTCTCCTCACTCTTTCAGGTAACTCATAGAGATACAGTAGGTTGTCACTGGTCCTTATTATGTTGATTTAGATCAAGCAGCTTCAACAAAGATCATAAAGTGAAATTAATCAACTGACACTTTTCTAAAATCCTAAGTGTTGCAGGCAAATGTATTGTTTTGTTACAAAAAAAACTGCATTGTTGATGTCAAATGATGTCGATTTTATTAATTAACTTGGATTTTCTTTGGTTCATCACACAAAGCTGACAACTCAGTACACTCTTAAAAATAAAGGTGCTTCACGATGCCATAGAAGAACCTTTTTGTCTAAATGGTTCCATAAAGAACCTTTAACATCTGAAGAACCTTTCTGTTTCACAAAAGGTTCTTTGTGTCGAAAGAAGGTTCTTCAGATTATAAAAAGGTAAGAAAGAGATGGTTCTTTAAAGAACCTTTGACTAAATGGTTCTTTGCGGAACCAAAAATGGTTCTTCTATGGCATCGCTTGAAGAACCTTTTGAAGCACCTTTATTTTTAAGAGTGTAGTGCCAAAGTTTTAGAAGACATGTCTGATTATATTCTATTGGTACTGACAACATGCTGGTCTGGGACAAATTAAACAGGATATGTTGTTTCTGACCTCCAGAGTATACAGACCAAGTTCTGCACCTTGACCTGTGACGCTGCTGGTTATCTTGGCGATGGCTTCCGTGGAATCGGAGCAAAGTTTGTAAGGTCGTCCCAGATGCTGACATCCTGCTCCGAATGTCCCACGTTGTTTGTCGATGCAGACACTGTGAGTTTCTAGTTTGAATATGAATTATGTCAATGCTACATCCAGAATACAAATTAGTAAATCACCAGCCTTAGTGTTCTATTCAATTTCTCGTTCAATGTGTATGTGTGCAATGTACGTATTATGAAATTGTTCTCTTAAATATGTGTTTCAGATTGTGTCTTATGGGCTCTTGGATAAGATGAAGTTTAGTGTGTTAGAGCTGCAGGAGTATCTAGAGACCTACAACAACAAAAAGGAGGCAGTCAAATCAGTATGTACAATAAAGCATAATTAATTTCTTAAAAAAAAAAAAAAATCTTACTGACCCCAAAGCTTGTTCTGTTCACCTTACTGTTATGCCTATGACTCTTCCAGTGGCTACGCAACTGCAAGGCCAGTTTCCCCAAATGCACTGGAGATGGAGTGATCACCTATCAGCCCGCTGAAACAGAGGAGAAGGTATGAAACCTCAGCTGGATAGTCAGCCATTCCAGAGAAAACTAAGGAATAAAGGATATGTATAAAGAATGTCATTATTATTGAAGTACATGATCAAGATCTCAACATTTTGCAAACTGGAGCTTTAACTAACAGTTCTGCTGTCTAACACTTGATGCAAACCTAAAACTACAGTGTGGCAGTTTACCACAAATAGTGCATGATTTCTGTCATTCTTTATTCCCTTGTTAAAAAATAGTACTTCTGTGTCAGTGTTTTAGTATGGCTGCATTGTCTACTGATTGATGCCACTGTAATGTCTGTTTTGTCCTGAAATATGAGTGAGATTAGGTGACCAAAATGTGTTTCAGATTCCATTTCAATATACTTCTTATATTTTCTGCATTTCGATTGTTCTGTGATAGCTCTGTGAGTGACATCTCTTTTCTATCTGTCTGCTCTTTAACTTTAAATGGATAGTTCACCCGAAAATTAAAATTACCCCATGATTTACTTACCCTCATTTGACTTTCTTTTTTTTTCCAGACGAATACAGTAGGAGTTATATTAAAAATGTCCTGGGTCTTCCAAGCTTTATAATGGCAGTGAATAGTGGTCAAGATTTTGAAGCAAAAATAGTACATATATCCATCATAGAAAGTGCTCCACACGGCTCCGGGGGGTTAATAAAGGCCTTCTGAGGCATTTGTGTAAGAAACTAACTAACTGTCGTAATCCTGTTCACGAGAGAGTGGCGTGCCAGCGAATAATGTAGGTAGGACGTAGGCGTAGCATAAGCTCCAGTGAGAAGTGATGAACGCGGAAGCATAGTGGAGAGAGCAAAACCAAACTTCGGTCACAAATTAGAAGTACAAAACGAGGATTTGTAAAGAAAAACATTGGAGGATTTTGATATAAGACAAGCGGAGACTGGTTTTCCTTTGCTGTAAGCAAATCTTGGTGGCTAGCATATTCTCACTGGAGCTTACGCTACGCCTATGTCCTACATTATCCGCTGGAACGACACTCTCTCGTGAACGTGCATAGGACAGTTAGCGGAAGCCAGAGATTATGGTTGGTAAAGTTTTCAATATGGTTATTATTGTTACACAATCGCATTCCACTCAGAAGGCCTTTATTCACCAACTTTTGCTGCAAAATCTCGACCTCTATTCACTGCCATTATAAGAAGAAGAAGAGCCAGGACTTTTTTTAATATAACTCCAATTGTATTCGTCTGAAAGAAGAAAGTCATATACCTAGGATGGCTTGAGGGTGAGTAAATCATGGTTTAATTGTTATTTTTTGGTGAACTATCCCTTTAAGCCTGTGCTGTGTTGATTCACAACAGCGCCCCCTAGTCTTATGTTTGATACAAGGGTCTTTCTATGCTGGAAGTTTAAAGAAACCCTGAAAAAGTTTCTTTCTCTAAAATTTAACCTAAAAATCCATACTTTCTACCCTTCAAGATCCCTTCAAGTCATAACCAGTTAAAGCAATAAAAAAGGCATATGGTACAAATTGCGTCTTTTTTTTTTTTAAAATATACTTGTTTTCTCTGTGCATTAATAAAAAAGGCATATGGTTCAAATTTCGTTTTTTTTTTTTTTTTTTTTTACCCAGCACAGTCCCTGTGCAAAAATAAAAATAAGAGGGCGTAGTTGTGATCCTTTTTCTTTCTATGCTTGTCTATTCACTTTTTCTGCTCATGCATGATGGAGCCATTGCTCATGCTTTATATTGCATGTGCCACTGGGCTGCATGATTTCACACTATATTCAAAACTTCTCTTCCTTCTCACTTCTCACCTTTTGTCTTGCAATGCCTGCTTTATAGCAAATGGAATCTCTTGCAGTAAGTTTTATAAAATCTTTTTAACCTCATGTTTTCTTTTTCGCTTGTTCCAAATGCCCGTATTATCAGAACATTGCCAAATTGTTTCACAGGCTTCATATTTTTTAAACTGAAAACACTGTTTTGCTAACACGCTTGTATCCTTATTAAAGATTTGTTTGGTTTCCTATGCTGTAGCTGTTGTGTAATAAATTCTTTCTTATATGCTAAGAAATTGTAAAGAAGAAAATTTTGGTGTTAATTTTATGTATGTTTGTTCGCAGCAACTGGAGCTTTGTCAAAGAGTCTACAAACTCCACTTTCAACTGCTGCTGCTTTTTCAGTCTTACTGTAAACTGATTGGCCAAGTTCACGCTATAAACTCTGTACCAGAGGTATGTTGACATCAGTGTCTCATCATCTGAGTTTGATTAAGACATTTGTTACTGGAATAGAAAAAGTCTAGCTTGCAAATCGTACTTATGTAGTACAGAGCCCCGTGTGTGTTTAAATGTTCTCCCTTTTAGCTGCAGAACATGTCCAGGGAGTTGAGTGAGTTGAGGAGTAACCTGCGGGCAGCAGCAGCCTCAGTGGCCGATGAGACAGCAGCCGAGCAGAGAGATCCTACTGCTGAATCCCCCTACAGCTCCTCTGAGGCTGCTGTGCAGGCCATTCTAGAAAGCCTGAAAACCAACGAGTTCTCCAGAGCCATCCTTTACATACAGGAATGCAGGTAAACTTCCCACCAGGAGAAAAGACTACAGCTTACTGTTTTATATTCAATTCAATTCAAGTTTATTTGTATAGCGCTTTTCACGATACAAATCGTTGCAAAGCAACTTTACAGCAAATTAAGTTTCTACAATATTTAGTAGTAGCTAATCAGTGGTGACTGTCAGTTAATGTACATATGGCAGAAATGTACGGAAAAATCAATTAAAGATAATATTGGATAATAATACAAATTTTGGAACCTGAATTTATAGTACGGTACACCCAAAAATTTAACTGTCATCATTTACTCAAAAACTGTATTCATATCTTTCTGTGGGACACAAAAGAAGATATTTTGAAGAATGATAGCTACAGTACCAAACCGTTTTGGTTCCCATTGACTTCCATTCTATGGACAAAAAATACAATGGGAAACTAAACTGTTTGGTTACTAACATCCTTCCAAAATATCATCTTTTGTGTTCCACAGAAGAAAGAAATCCATAGACGTTTGGAACGACATGAGGGAGAGTTTTTTCGGGTGGACTTTTCCTTTACATTTTTAATTTATTGATAACCTATTCAGGAACAGAAAATGAATGCATTTGGAGTAATATGCAGTGCTTTGTATTTTCACTTTGTTTCAGGAAAATGTGGCCATGTGACATCTTCGGCAGCAGCTCTGAGAATGAGATTCAGACTCTACTCAACATCTATTTCCGGCACCAAACTCTGGGTCAGACGGGAACCTTTGCCCTGGTCGGTTCCAAACAAGACCTGTCTGAGATATGCAACCGACTCACTGAGCTCAACTGTGAGATCCGAGACATGATTCGACGGGCGCAGGGCTACCGGGCCATCACTGCCTTCCTTCCTGACTCCAGTGTGACCGGCATCAGCCTTTGAGTCCAACTTCAAAGGGTTAGTTCACCCAAAAATGAAAATTAGGCTGCGTTTTACTCACCCCCGAGGCATCCTAGGTGTATATGACGTTCTTCTTTCAGACGAATCCAGTCGGAGTTATATTAAAAATTATCTTTGATCTTTCAAGCTGTTTAATGCCACTCAGCGGGTGTTGCATTGCTTCAGTCCAAAAAAACTTAAATAAAAATCGCCCATCCATAAAAAAAAGTGTCTCACACGGCTCCGGGGGGTGAACAAAGGCCTTCTGTAGCGAATCGATGCATTTTTGTAAGAAAAATATCCATATTCAAAACTTAATAATCACTTGAATCTAGCTTGCGCTCACTGTTGTAAACAGAAGCAGTTCCGGGGGAATGACGTATGAGGTCGACTTTGCGCATGCGCCACTCAGAAGTGACGCATGCGGAAACGTTACACCTAGGATGACTTGAGGGTGAGTAATTTATGGGCTAATTTTCATTTTGGGGTGAACTAACCCTTTAAGGGATCAGGCGGGAACTGGCCTTCTTTCCACCACTCCTGTCTGAAGTTGCTGCTCCCTTCAATGTTCTCCCCTAGTGCACTCATTACTGTCCTGACTCTGCTCACCTTAAGAGCTTCAAGGATGTACAGCTAATATAGCTTAGAAAAATGCATCAGGAGACACAAAAAGAAGTCTAATCCTTGGCTTTTTTGCACTACTATATATGTAAGGGGCCACCCCTGCCTCTGAAATGGGGCCCCTACTACTGCAGGCATCAAAGGTATACCAAAGCTTCACGAATGGCTCCTCCTGCTCACATCTACCATTATACGTTACGGGAAAATGTGCAATGCCTCACACTAAGTGAAACTTTTCATCTTAGAGAGAATGTTTTGAAACTTCAGTGCTCTCAGCTACTTGATGACACATAAATGTTCTGTTCTTGTTTTTTTTTTATTTTAAATAAAAGCTGAAAGCCATTGTTAATGTGGCTTTTTAAAAAATGTTTAACAAGATCAGACTTTTCAACGTGCGCACCCCTGCCTCGGCTTTTATCCGTACAGACAGAATGTCTCTAACACAATGCAATGCTACTGTCAGAGAGACCTGGATGCATAAAAGGGTTATCCAGCACTTATTTATGTATGGGGGTGTTTGATTTTACTAATGTCTTTCTACTGTTTAGTTTTAGTTGCTCCTAGAAGGTTTATTTATATTCTTAAAAGAAAGATTATCATGTTTTGATCATCATAAAATGGTATAGTTTTATAGGATGGAATTCTGTCTATTGAAATGGCCAAGCATGCAAAGGTATGTACCATAAGAAGAAATAGAGATATTTATGGAATAAGAAATTATTTTAAATGAAAGATACATTTGTAAATAGTAGTGGGAGTGTAGCCCATACTTGTAAGATTTTATTTTTATGGTTTCAATTTGCTGTCTGCTGTATGAAAGTGTGCATGCAATAAATAGATCAATAAATAATATTAATTTAAAAAAACGTCTGTTTAGTCAGTGGGTGTTTTTATTTTGATATGTATGTGTCTGTTCTTAGATCTGTAATTGTCCATGATTTTAGGATGAGCATGTTTGTTTGTTTTTGTTTGTTGCTATTTTTATTGTTGAACTAAATATATATATAATTATATCAGTGTGAGTACTATTGCTGACTATAGACTATCAAAATTGTACATAATTTAAATTACTGAACAAACATTGTCCAAAACTATGCACACTCCATCTAAAATTGACTTTTTTATTATTAAAGTAATTCAAAAAGTTGAAAGAAGTTTTAGAATAGAATAGATTAGAGTAGAATATATGCAAAGAAAAACTCTCTCTCTCTCTCTCATAAACTATTTCCAGTTTCGATTCAGTGGTGCACGTTAGTCCGCCCCCTGAACTGACGCTAGCATTTTGATTGGTCGAGACAACTGGTCTTCCGTTGACGACACGGCGCTTATTGGCGGGATGTGTTAAACCAGCTTTATCCACGCGTAGAATAAACAGATCCTCTCAGAACACTTCAGAGAATAAAACATCTTGAATCGGAGATGAAGACGACATTTCAATGAACTTCGAAAACTCAGAAGTTACAAAAAGATTTCATCTGTGCCAACACGTTCATTTACGGTAACTTCCAGACCTGTTTTCCTGTTTGTAGCTAGTTCAGATAGCTGAGTAGACTAGACAGTGATATGCATGACATAGAACAGTTAGGCTACTTACTTAATTACAGTTATTTAAATCTCGATGCCAAACTGTTACGTGATAAGCACGTAATATAAGTCAGATACATTATTGTCAGGGATACAAGATACACCGAATTACATTTTTATGTTTTTGTTTGTTTATCTGTAGGTCCAATGACAACATCATTGTGCTTGGTTCAAATTTAGCCCCATCACACTCATGGCAGCATGTTTGACAATTTCTTTCATCAAATTGACAAAGGTAGACATTTACAATAATATGAATGAAAGGAAGAATATATATATATATATAAATATATATTAGTGTTACCATATTTCAAATCTTTGAAACTGATCTGATTTATTGTGAATTAAGAGCTTGGACCTCTTAATCCTGACTGGTTTGAGGAATTGACTGCAAAAGCTTCCAGAGATGAAGGACGTCCTGACAGTTCAAAAGTTGAGGAGGAGGAGACTGTCAAAGTACCAGAGACATCAGCCCTGGCCAGTCAGCTGTTTTCTACACCCAAAATATTCAAGCAACGATGCTTTCAGTCCCCTGCTTCCATTCCTAATGAAGAGTCCCCTTATGAAGGTATATCACAGTTGTTGTGTTATGTATGAAGTATGTGTAAAGGACATAGTCCTGTATAATTGTTTTTCTTCCACCCAGTGGCTAATGGAGACTCAACAGCTTTTCCCTGGACAGAATCAAGCCCTTGTTTGTTTGGTTCAGCCAAAGACGGGTAATTATGTTTATGAATAGGATAATATGAATTTTATGTGAAGTCAAGCAGAAAGTTTAATGAACGTTTCTCTCCTATCATTTGTAGTCAAAGGTTTGATAGATCCTGTGAAAAACCTAGAGATTGCTTTGGTAAGTCATTTTTCTTTCTTTTAAAAGTTTAAAAAACAATAAGATTGTTTTCTATTCTAATATTAAATACTGTACTTTATTTTTTTTAACAACTTCCATATGTGACACCACAGGCCTTCTGGACACACCAAAAAGGTCTTTGGTAAGTCTACACAAGTTTACAAATCTGGTCATTTTAGGGCTGGACGATTTGGCAAAAAACTTAAAATCTCGATTGTTTTACTAGTCAACTTGAAAATTTAACTACAACATGATTCAATTAACTTTTTCTTTATTAACCCTCTAGTTAAAGAAAATTATATTCCAAGTGCAGCTCACATGAAGTTGTCAACATGATGTAAATGTTAACAAATCACTTGTTAAATATCTTTGCAGAAAAGATGCATGAACTACAACTACATATTATACAAACTGGTCTTATACATATTATGTGTTCAGAAATAATACGAGGAAAATGCTTTTAAAAAATCTCAAAAGTCAAGGTAATTCAAATTCAAAATGACTGAAGGTATAACACCAGTAGACTATTATTAACTATAAATGTTCTGTAAAAACAACAGCAGCTTTCAGCCTGTCACCATGATGCAAACATGAAATATCAGACATACAGTAGTAGTTCTTTACAGGTTTTTTTATTCGATCGCGCTGCTTTTCCTTTGTTTTTTCTGTGTAAACATGGATGTGTTTGACTGTTTCACTCGAGTCTCTTGCAGTGTCTCATGCATGAAACGCCATTCTAAAAACACTGCGCTCAAGTTAAAAGACGTTCACTCCCATCTTCTTGCATGTTTTACCTATTCCACTGCCTGCGTCGCATCTTTGTCAACACAAAAGCGCATTCTGTGTGAATGGCGCTTAGC